ATCCATTCATGATAAAAAGCACCAAAGAAATTAAGAAATAGAAGAAACATATCTCAACACAATAAAGGTTTTATATAACAAACCTATATCTAAAATATTACCAAATGAGAAAAAAGAATTTCCTGTAAAGTTAGACAAAGGTGTTCCCACTCCTACTCCTTACTATTCTTTTTCAGCACCTTCCTTAATGCTTTTGCTAAACCAGTAATACAAGAGAAAAAAAGGAAGTAAACAAACAGGAGAGGAGGAATCCCCGTTTGTAGATGGCATGATTTTATACTTATAACTCTAAAGACTCAACCAGAAAATTCTGATAAACACTTTCAGCAAGGTAGTAGGATAGAAAATCCACATTCAAAAATAAGTAGCTATTTTTATACAGATAATAAAATTTCCCAGAAAAAAAGCAAAAAAATTGCATTCATGTATCTTCAAAAACTAAAGATTTTTAAATGTAGAAATAAGCCTAATCAATAAGGTAAATGTATACTAACTTTAGGATTCTGAAGAAAGAAATTAAAGAATACAAGTTGGAAAGACCACCCATGCTTACAGATTGGCAGAATTAATGTTTCAAAAATGGTTATTTTACAAAAAGTAACATACAGATTCAATATTATCTTCAACAAAAATTCACTTTCACTGTTCACAATGCTAAAAAAATTATAAAATTCAAATGGAAGGGAAAAATACCCCAAATAGTCAAAGAACTCTTCAGCAAAAGAGCAATGTCACAAAATGTCACAATTTTGACCTCAATTTAAATTATATTTCCATAGTATCAATAACTGCATGGTACTGACACAAAAACAGATTTGTCCTTCAGCGGAATAGCATGTAGGACTCAGAACTAATCACATACAGCTACAGCAATCTTCTTTTTTGATAAAGCTGTCACATAAATACATTGGGGGGTGGCCTCTTCAACAAATGGTGTTGGCCATCAAGATATGCACCTGTAGAAGAATAGAACTGAATTCATAACTCCCACCCTATACAAGAGACAATTCAAGAGGGCTGGAGAGATATCTCAGCAGTTAAGAGCAATGGATGTTCTTGCAGAGGACCTGGGTTCAGTTCCCAGCACTCACATGCCTGCTAATAACCATCTGACTCTCCATTTCTAGGGGATCTTCTGTCTTCTTCTGACCTCTGTGGGCTTTGCATGACATGGGTGCAATTACATACAGGCAGGCAATATATTCATACACATAAAAATATAAATAATAAATAAAATATTTAAAAGATTCCATTCAAAATGGATAGAAGATCTTAATGAGAGATAAATATTTGAAACTGCTAGAGGAAAATCTAAATAAAACATTTCAAGGTATAGGTATAGGCAAAGATGTTCTGAAATGGATTCAAGTAGCACAGGAAATAACCCCAAGAATTTAAAAATGAGATTACAAGGAATTAAACAGCTTCTTCACATCAAAGTGATTAATCACTTGATGAATAGTCTACAGAATGAGGAAAATGTCTGTGCCAACCATACATCACACACTGAGTTAATAGCTAGACTGTGTAAGAGATGCAGGAATGAAAACAAATCACACACAAAAAAATCAATCAATAAATGGTCCACTGAACTTAATAGTTCATTAGTTTTCAAAAAAAGAAATACAAATGGCCTAAATATTTGAAAAAGTTCAGCAGCTTAGCCACAAGGAAAAAGCAAATCTAGACTGCTTTTAGCTTCTATCTCACCCCAGTCATCATGGCCATGTTCAAGAAAACATGACAACGAACATTGAGGCCATGGGAAAGAGGAACCCTCACACACTTCTGATGAGAATGTTAACGAGGGTAGCCACTGTGTCATTCACTGGGGATGGTTTTCAAAAACCTAAAGTTAGAAATAACATACAACCAAGCTGTACCACTCTTGAGTATGTACTGGAAGAACAAGGTCAACATGCCACACAACACTTGAACATTCATCTTTATTGCTTCAATATTTGAAATAACTGAAATATGGAACCAGCCTAGATATCCATCAAGAGGCAAGTGGATAAAAAAAGGTCATACTTGTATACAACAAATTTTATTTATTCGTAAAGAAAAATCAATCATTCCACTTACCAGGAAATGGATGGAATTGGGGGTTCTGAAATTAACCAGACAAACACCAAATTTTCTTTCATATGTATAAGCAATCTAGATCTAAACATATTTTTGCATGTTTGATGTGTGTGTGTTTATGTTTATGTCATGAAAACAGGCAAAGACTGCTAGGGGAAGGAAGGGATTGAAAGAGAGGACAAAGGCTGGTGGGGTAGGCTAGTAGGGGAAGGTAATGATTGAGAATAAAATATAATGACATATATGCAAGAACATCGCCTAATAAAAAGCAATTACTTTGTATAGTAACTTAAATAATTAAAAAGTAAGTATATAATTTTTCTTTTCTATCTCTTTTTTTTTGGTCTTTTTGAGACAGGGTCTCCCTAAAACCCCAGCTGTCCTAGAACTCACTATGTAGACCAGGCTGGCTTTGAAATCACAGAGATCTGCCTGCCTCTGCCTCTCATGTGCTGGGATTAAACGCATGCGCCACCACGCCTGGCAATTTTTCATTTTGTAATTATTATTATTATTTGAAACATCATTTTCCTTGGTATCTGAGGAAGCTTTAAAATCTGCTACATACTCTAGAAGCAGATCAAATAGATCACAGAGAAAGTGAAGTTTCACTGCTTAAAGAAACAAACTCAATTCTTATGTTAGCCAGACTTTATTCACTGTTTTTATTGAGCTTTTTAAATTTCATACATTTTCCACTCAAATCCAGACCCCCTCCCCCATCCATACCCTCTATGCCCCCACTGATCACTATGCATTCTGCCACTCTGCCATACATGCTGAGTCCTATTCATTCAGGTGTTTGTACCCAAATGTCCTTCAGTGTAAATGCATCCACTGGAGCCAGATCAGCCCATCCAGTGGTTGTATGTAAGTCACACGCTCCGTCACCCAGCAGCAACCAGTATCAAATAGATCTTAATCTAGTGCTGACCCATGACCTATTTCTCACCTCCCCTTTGGACCCTTGTTTAGTTGAGCTGACATGGGTCCTGTACTCAACAGCACCGCTGCCACAGGCTCACATAAGCAAGCCTCCAGTGGCCTGAAATCCTCCACCTCCCTGTGTTCATGAACCAGCCCTGGTTCTTATAATCTTTCCACCTCCTCTTCCACAATGGTCCCTGAGCCATGGGTGGCTGAGGTTCTTTATAGGAGTCATATCCTACACTCTACAGTCTTAGTCTCCAAAACTTGGCCAGCTGCGGCCTTCTGTGCGCATCGCACTCTGATATACACAGAAGCCTCACTGGTGAGAGTTGAGGGGTGCATTAGCCCTCTCTCTATCCCTTATTCCTCTATGCCATGAGCTTTAGTTGTAGAGATTCATCTGCAGATGTGTCACCTACTACTGGGCATCTCCCAGGCATATGTTCTCTGTGCCTGACCAGATGTGCAACTCTGCAGTAGCCTCCATCTGTTGCAAAAAAGAAGCTTCTTTGATGAGTGCTGTATGCTGCACGGCATGCTTGTCACTCTAAGGGAGGTCTCTTCTATCTGGAAATGCATTCCCTGCCAGTCTTTCACTATAGGAAAAGGAAACACACACACACACACACAAACACAACTGTGCTATCTATATATACTAAACACAGTAGAGTATATTACCATTTACCATTTCTCATCCAATTAACAGAGCCAACAAAAAAGTTGAATTTTATGTACCATCTGCTCTTAAGCAGAGGGAGCCAAGAAAAGACTGCATGGCCAGAACGTGCATATTACACACACACATCTGAAGGGGTAAAGTGCACACTATCAAGGCTGAGCTGATGTTCCACTTTACTCTGGAGCCTTTAGTGTGGTGACTAGACTGACTGAATCTAGACTCAGACTTGGGCACAAGTCAGTTACTCACATGAGGTCAGGACCTAGTTAGTATTCTTTCATGTCTAAAATTCTCCACAGACACTGAATAGAATTACACAAAGGATAAGTGTTTCCTTACATATTTGAATTGAAAAGTGAGTAAAGATTTTTCAGAATAAGGCACAACCCAAAGCCATTAAATTGAAATCTTATGTTCTTCAAGATACATGAATAAAAATGACCTTGTTTACGTAGTTGGACAAAGTAAACTGGGAGATGACTCAAAGTCACTAGGCAGGGCACGCTTGAGAAAGAATCTGAGGTCTGAGCTTGCTTTCTGTGTAACAAGGTATTGCTACCTATTAATAAAGGTCACAGAATAAGCACAAAGAGAGATATTGTTTAACTCCCTTTAGATGTGGATGAGTGTCTGGATGTCAGTGTGGACTGTGACCAACTGTGCATCAATTCTGTGGGGACGTATTACTGTGCCTGTGAAGAAGGCTTTGGAATCGCACGTGACAGAAGAACCTGCCTCTGTAAGTTGCTGAAGTACATGCCTCCCTCTCTCCCTCCCTCCTTCTCTCTCTCCCTTTTTTCTTTCTTTCTTTCCTTCCTTCCTTCCTTCCTTCCTCTCTCCCTCCCTCCCTTCCTTCTTTCCTTCCTTCCTCCTTCCCTCCCTCCCTCTCTCCCTCCCTCCCTCTCTACCTCCCTCCGTCCCTTTTTTCTTTCCTTCTTTCCTTCCTTCCCTCCCTCCCTCCCTCCCTCCTTCCTTCCTTCCTTCCCTTCTTCCTTCCTTTGTTCCTATATGCATCTCTCTCTTCCTCCATCCATCATTCTCCTCTGCTTGCCAATTTCTTCTCCCTTCCTCCCTCCTCCCTCCCTTCCTTCCTTTCTATTTTTCTGTCTTTCTTTTCTTTCCCCTTGGTTCTGTTTGCTGTCATTCAACCCCATGCTAGGAGCACTGGCTGCCCTACAGCAGACCTCTGAAATGAACAGCTCACACTCTTTGGCCATCAGTCACTTCTACTTGACTGTCTAGTTCAACTCTCACCTCTCTTTCAACAATGATTCCTTTTTTCCTTCCTTTTCCTTTCTGGTCTTAGCTTTAGATGGTGAGCAGTTAGAGGAAGAAGAAGAGGAACTTGAAGTTGTGAGGTTTCCAGGCCTTCTAGTGGAGAACCCACCTCAGCTGCTTCCTTATTTTGTCCCCTCTCTGATGGCCTCTTATGAAGATGAAGAAGAGGAAGGGGAGGGAGACTTCCAAGGACTGACTGCCTTGCACAAAGTTGGTGAGTGAAAGAACACATCTCCTTCCTCTCATCTCTTCTTACTCTAGATTGCCCGAGCCTATTCTCCTGGGGGCAGTTTGATGATCAGCAGTTAATGCCATCGAATGTCACAGATTGAGAGAAGAGTAAAGCAAACCCCTTCACTTCTTCAGAGCTTCCTTAAAAAATGTATTTTTCTTTTTTTTTACAAGAAGAAGACAATATATAGATACTTGTGGAAATGAGAGTGCAGGGTCAAGTTATTTTGGTGGCTCAGCAGGTGAAGGAACCTCCATCAACCCTGATAAATTGAATTTAATCCTGAGTACCTACATGGTGGAAAAACAGAAATAACTCCCCTAGAGAGTTGTCCACTGACTGACCTCCAAATGACCCATAGCAGGGGCATACACACACATATGCACAATCAATCAACCATTCAGTTAACCAACTGGTTCATTAAAATAAGTAAAGATAGCATCAATACACTTATGTGCATTAACCATAATTTTATAATTATGGTTAATTATAAAATTATTGTTTCTTCACTGAAGTAGAAATATCCAAATTTTCCTTAATTAAATTTCTGTTGCTTTAGCTATTCAAAATCAGAATAGAAGTAGTTTAGGGCAACACATTCCAAATTCGTTCTGCCAGATTTTAGAAAGAAGAAAAATCGAGACAAATTTTTCTGTCTTTCCTTCATTCATTTGCCAGTTCATCATATTCGAATATTATTATTGGAAAAAGTATAACTAGTCTCATTTTGTGACACACATCTCTGTTATTGTCCCTTTCTGTGACCTTTGTGGGGAAAGGTACTCAAGTACCCAAGGATTCCAGTATTCTTTGGGAAATAAGAGCGTCATCTTATTTTCAGTTGGGCATATAGCTAAAAGTCAGATAAAACAGGAACCCCTGTCAGTCTGCTCAGATGGCACCTTTGGCACAAACTGCAGCCCGAGCTGTGTGAACTGCATGAAAGGAGGCAGATGCCACAACAGAAAGAGGGGGTGCTCCTGCAGCAGGCTGGGCTGGCCTTCTTTGCAAAGAATGTGACACCTGGCAAATGGTAGAGTTCAACAAACTCCTGGGGGTGAGTTCTTAACATAGACACCCTGAAATGTGTTGAAATTCACTCAGTGTGGGTGAGAGGGGTGAGAGAGCAATGTATTTGGCCAACATAAAGAACGCCTGTAAACACTGAGGTTTGTAAACTAAACACACAACTGAAAGAGGAGAGTGTGTATTCTCAGGAGAATGTAGTGAGTAGAAACTTGTTTACCCAGAAAACACAAAAGTTAATACAGGTTCCAAATATTTCAGTCCTGGAAAAATTCCTGTACTTCAATAAATCATCAAGACCTGGAAACTATTGCTAACGAAGAAAAATGAGAATGCTTTATGTTACAAAGTACAATTACATGAAATTGCTTAACTGCTGCTTACTTTTGTTGATTTTCTTTTCTTTTGCTTCTAAAAAATTACATTAATACAGCCAATGGTAGTGATTTCATCTTTATACAAACATCTCAAGAGAAAATATCAAAGATTTAAATGTATGTTACCATCCCCCCCAAAAATCTATTCGTGTTTTAAATGAAGGCAGCTTTCAGGAGTTTGATACGTCTATGTGATAAAATAAGTTGACTTTGTTTTTCCTTTTTAACTTTTTCATGTACATCTTAAAAATATGTGTTGTCATGATTACCTGTAAGATGTTATGAGCAGATTTTCCTCTTAACTGTGTGGGGGAAAACAGAACATGTTTCTTCTACTGTGTGGTATAAGTGCAGAACCTGAGTCCTGACATAGTAACACCAGGATGGTTCCTTCAGGTCTTCAGGCTCCTCTTCCAGCATCCCTGATCATGCTTCTCTGCTGTCCTCGAAATCATTTTAAGGGTCTCTCTTCCTATAAGTAAGGTGTGCACTTACTCGGTCACTGAGCACCTTCTAAAATCAGGCTCCCATAAATCCCTACTAGTTTTGTCTTAATCACGATCTTTGCCTGATGAGAATTTCTGGAGAGTTAAACCTTGCTACTCCATGCTCTGCAAGTTTCAGCTTGGCTTTTGTTAAACTAACAACTCTGCAGATCTGTTGCTGCTGATGGTTTGAGTGCTGCAGTCTATTGCAAGTACTGGTTTTTCCACTGGAAGTGAAGTCACTCTTTCCTTTGTATTGCCATTCCTTCTGAAACTGTGAACTCTCTGATCAGCTCCAGTTCATTCTTATTCATTGTAAGTTACTCACGTTGGTGGTGCCAACTACATGTAGAAAGAAACAATACATCTTGGAGAAGAGCCCCAACTAGACTGTTCTTAAGCTCACACATTCATTAGTATAAAATTGGAATGAAATTATTATGTGATTATCAAGATGCAAAACAATTTCTTTAATCACGCAAGTTGCATTGATAAATATGCGTGTTCTGAGCACTTAATCCCTGACATGATGGCATGAGAAATAAAAGTCCAGAATCTCTCCCTAAAGCATAGAGGAAAACATCTCCTATACAAGCTTCATACTGAGAGATTACAGTGAACCACTGAATCAAATACACAAGGTACCCCTGTCTTCGGACTTGAAAAACATTGAGGATGTGCTGAGTTCTCAAAAGGAGCTCTTAGGAAGAGACTGTTTCCGAAAGCAAAGGCTTGTTCTCTTTGGTAGTTTCCATATGATTTGCTCCTACTTTTTACAAGAAAGAAAACAGAGCAAGCCAAATCCATCTACTACTCACAGAATAAAAACGGGTTCAAATAACTCCAGTAAAAAGGAGAGGGGAGATGTTCTATAAATTACATATTTTAAGGTGATCAACCACTAGTGAAATTAAAAATAAAATTTTGCATGAATTTGGAAAGGGTGGCTCCCATCTAAGTAGATGGTCTACCCCAGCGTCTTTATTGATTTTGTATTAAAGTATCTGTTTTGACTTCTTGGGAATTTGTTCAAGTAACTGTGAGAAAAATTTTTTTAAATAATCATATAGTATCTAATTTTAATAGAAGACATGTTAGAACCCAGTTTCATTTGAGGAAATTCCATATTGAAATTGTGTGGTTATCTAGTGGAAAGGGGAGAGTGGAGTGAAGGTCATGGTGAACGCCTGTTGGACAAGAAGGCTTGTGACAACCCTCGAATCCTCCAGGTCCTTTTGAGATCTGGTCCAGTTAATATTTGTTCCTTGTAGGTCTATGCTCTATTTTATGCTAATGAAATACCTTGGAAATCCTTGTATCATACTGGATTTTACTTGGTGGAATGGGGTTTTATAACCCCGTGGATCTATTGGTCTACTATATAGATGAAATGCTGTAATCCAGGCACTGTGGAAGCCATTCAGAATTCTTTATCAATCTGACTGCCTCTGCCTCCCCAACGCTGGGACTAAAGATATATGCCACCATACCCAGCTCTTTATCTTTATTTTTAAAAACCGTGTTTCCAGAGGCTGGAAAAACACATATGCAGTAACAATGGAGGCCTCAGCCATTGTTCATTCCTGGTCTCTTTCTTTTTTCTCATCTTTGCTTTTATTTGCCCTTTTATTATGTCAGTAGCTTGAAGATAAAGAGACAGGATAAAGATGTAGCTCAGTTGGTAGAGTGCTTACCTAGCATGCTCCAGGCTCTGGGTTTGAGGACCAGCACTGCATACACCAGGCATGGTGGAATATGCCCATAAGAGGTGGAAGAAAGAGGAACAAATGTCCAAAGTCATTCTGAGTCCAAAGTCAATATTGAGTTCAAGAGACTCTGTATCAAAGAAAAAGGAAAGAAAGGAGGGAGGAAGGGAGGGAGGGAGGGAGAGATGGAGGGAGGGAGGGAGGAAGAGAAGAATGGAAGGAGAGATGGAGGGAGAGATGGAGGGAGGGAAGGAAGGAAGGAGGGAGGGAAGGAGGGAAGGAGGGAAGGAGAGAGGGAGGGAGGAAGGGAGTGACACTTGGAAGCAATAAATATAAACGAATGAATTGTGAAACAGTGGCCAATGGTACTATCCGGGAATTGGAGACATATATCTTTTTCCCCCTCTGGTGCCTGTGAGAGCCAATCGCCATAACAGAGACCAGCAAATAACAGCAATAAAAACTAAATCTGTGCACAAGATTGGGAAGGGAGGGATGGAGGGAGGGAGGGAGGGAGGGAGGGAGAGACTGAAGGAGGGAGGAAGGGAGGGAAGGAGAGACAGAGGGAGGGAGTGAGGGGAAGGGAGAACAAAACACATCAATAAAGATACTGAGAAAATAAAAGATACATAAGAAGCTAAATTTCATAGAACAGTAGTGATCAAGGATGTGCATATAAGAAATGCTATAAATGTAGTTTTAGGACAAATATGTTATGATAAAATACCAATTAATTAAAATGGCTACTGAAATTATCTCAGGTTATATTTACTTAAAAGAAAGTGGCAATTTTTTCAGTGTACTTTTCTGAAGACTAAATGCTTCTAAATGAGCCAACAATCCAGAGAAAAATGTTGTTTGCTTAATTCCATCAATCTTTGACAATGCAAAATACCTTGGGAGCCCCAAGAGAACTCTAGCCATATTCACAGTTGATTTCAAAATAACATGACATTTTTTTTCCTGCGTTTTTTTTTTCACATTTTTCAGAGTAAAACATGCAGTTTATTTCTCATTAAGGTTGGTTAGAATTGAACAGCAAGGATGTCGGGGTAGTGTTGAAACTGTCAGGATTAGAGTTTAAGGAATGAGGCCAATTTTGCATTTGAACCTTGTTAGCAGTTCCTTAAGCCATCATTATTGCCATCATTATTTTAACGAGCTGTACCATTGGTAATTCCCACAGGGATGATTAAATCATACAAAGTACAACTATGCCTGAGTTTTATCCTGGTTCTGCAAACTACTTGGATTTTAATTACTGGGTATCCATCCTAATGGAAAGCCTCTCCTTCCCCTACATTTGTAACAGAAAAGGAATGTTTGGCCACCTGTTCATCTCTTCTGTTTTCTTTGCAGCTTGTTCCCCAACCAATGGGAAGGAGTGCAGAGGCTTCTGCACCTGTCAGAATGGAGGCACCTGTGATCCTCAGACTGGGCAATGCCAGTGCCCCCCAGGAGTTCATGGGAAAACTTGTGAAGACGGTAGGATTTTCCAATATCAGACGATCCATTTCTAATTTGGGGCCAGAGTTTCTAGTGAAAAAGAACTAAGTGGAAGTTACATCTTTGTTCTTCAAGCTTTTTCTGAAGAACAAAAACTTACATCTATTCACACAAGAAAAATACTGCTTGGCAGAAAACAATTTTGTTTTCTTCAGAAAAACAGTTGAGTTTGTGGATACAGCCGTGGAGGTAAGACCTGGGGAGAGGTTACCTGTGCTGTATAGCAAAAGGACGATGAGTGAGGCTCTGAGAGGAAACAGGAAGGGAGGTGAAATCAGAGACTAGGAGGGGATAAGGAGGGAAAAGAAAGAGAAACAATGGAGGCGATTCTCATGAACTCCAGTGAACACTGTTTATGGAGTTTTCATGGAAACCAGTGGAGATGTAATGTTTCCTACAGAGGCTGACACACTATATAAACCAAAAATGGTTCTATAGGCCCAATCACTGAAGGCTCTTCCCCAGAGATGGCCAGAAGTCATGGGAAATTTATTAGACTGTCCCATTTTGTGGAACTGGAAATGAGAAAAGCAAATCTACTTCACTTTCTGAGGTATGGGGAGGCAGCAACGTTATTTATTTAAAAATATATACTAAGAACTGTAAAGATGTCTTCCAGGAATGACGGTACCATGCAGAAAAGAAACAGGATTCTGAAACCGTGGAAATTGTCTTGTTAAAGATAGAGGTGGATTACAAATACTGATTGGGATTGCAAATTAAATACTAACGCATGGTTAGAATTGAAACTGTGAAGGCAATTCAGACTCTGACAGGGAGAAACTTAAGGGGAAGTAATATAAGGAGAAGCCTGCAGGATAGGTGAGGTAGACTGAGGAAGAGCATGCAGAGCAAGGTGAGAAGCTGTGTGATGTAAAGGACCTCAGAGAAAACAGAGAAAAGATGGTCAGGGAGCCAGTTGTGCAACATGAGTCGACCACTGTAGGGGTTCAAAGGGTACAGTTTGGAGCTTCTGATCTATAGCATCTGCAAGTCACAGTAGGATTTTAAGCAAAGAATGTACAATCGTGAATGCAGTTTCTAAAAGAATATAATATCTCCAGCCTCAGGCTAACTAGATGAGAAGCATCTTTCCTGGATGTTTGTATGTGTGCAAGTGTTGGGATTAAAGGCACTACCATGTCCATCTATAATTTTTCAA